AGTTCACGGTCTCATAAGAGTCTGTCGTTAAAGAGGTTCCGTCTTGAAAACTTTTTTCATGTATAAATCGGATTTATTTTCAACCATACATCGCCGGCTGAATCGTGTTCTGGATTCACTTCATTTTATCACTGTCACTCCTTTCAGTTCCGTCGGAGAATCAATTTCTAGAGGGAATCAGTGAATGCTAAAGACTGAAATTTTTCATCGCCGTCATGGTAAAAGCCTTGAAGGCTTTCAATTTCCAAAGGCCCGTCTTCTCATTTGACATATAGCCTATTCCATCAAGGATTCGCGGGGATAACATCAATCCTCCGAGACTGTCCAAATTCAAAGCGTTCACTAACCACATGGATGCACAAAAGGGCCTCCTGAGCCGCAATCTATTATGGAATCCCTGAGAAATGGTCCGGTGCTGAATATGAGAAGTAAAATATCTCCTCAAGGGAAACTAATACGACCTCAATCAATGTTTTCAATGCGATGCGCATATATTCCAATCAGAAAAATCAACATTTTTCATTCCCCAGGAGATGGCGTTCCCGTCCACTAGATCACCCGTGGTTCTCGTGAAATAGATAGATAAAAGGAGCTATCGCAATATACGCGGGCATTTATAGGAGGAAAGGAAGGGGTAGCAGTTTTGAGGAAAATGGGAACTTCCAAAGCCCCTGAAGTCTCTCCTTCCCGTCTAAGGCGTAGTTCCGTTTTCAAGAAGAAGATATGATTCATGTGATTTAAATGAATGCCACCACAGTGGTTCCTTATATTACGATAGCTAGGCATGAAACATTCGGCGTTGATCAGTCTCCTTCTGAGATGCACCGTGCATTCAAAATCGTCGTGACATTTTGCAAGCAAGTCGGCCTGCTGAATGGTTTGAGAGAAGGGCCGCCCGATGCACAAGTCAGGTTTTTAGTCCCAGACAAATCTGGTCTCCATTAAGCCGGCTCAGAAGGAAATGCATGGTCGCCCTGGACGTCGTACAGTCTAGCATTTGATCCCTAGAACCGCACTGCGGTAAGTAGCACCACCTACCACTACACCTCTTCCTTCCGTATCTTGAAATACTTGATAAAATTCCAAATGCCTTTTCTCTCATCTTCGCAAACGTACTTCAACATAAAACATAAAAATGTGAAGGATGGGTTGTGAAAACAGAAACAAGAAGCAGAATGAGTGTGAGGTCTTTAGTCCAGCTTGATTGCAGTTTCTCGGAGTGAATCTCTGGAAGCACTTGGTCAGTCCTAATGAGCCGTCAACAGGTCCCCACCGATGGCCACAGCCCCGTCTTTTATTCTGTAAAGCTGAAACATAGAAACCTATTGTAAAGATTAATAAACTTTGCTTTCGAAGGGCAAGGACTGGCCGCCAAGGCAAAGGCGAATTAGAAGCCGCTTAAATAGCGCCGTAAAAACCGTCGCAGCAAATGGCGCGGCGTTTTCTGACGAACGGTAGCTTCGAGACCGTCCTCGTCCATCTCCAATTTTGCGCGTTGCGGCCTAACCTGAGGGGCCGAAAAATCGGTCTACCAACTCGCGGAATCTTACAGTTTTTGAAATGATTGAAGACTCACTCGAGTGGGAACTACACTTCAGCGCTATCGCAATATATGGGGGCACTGTGGTAGCAATGCTTTCAAAATTGCGTAAAGCATACCCCTTTCGTTGAAAACGGAATTAAGCCTTGAACAGGGAAGAAGACTCTAGTATGCGTGAGCATTTTTATTTTCTTCGGAGCTCCTGCCCTCTCCTAGGCCTAGTCCTAGAGGATGCCCCCGTGTATTGCGATAGCGCCCACACTTCTTATGATTGATATAATCATAATATATTTCACTGGAATAAAATTCTTCTCCATTCAGGTTTGCAAGTGGTGTTGAACGCCATCCTCCGAGCTATGATCCCGTTGCTGCACATTGCCCTGCTAGTCCTGTTCGTCATTCTCATCTATGCGATCATCGGGCTGGAGCTGTTCTGTGGCAAGCTGCACTCGACGTGGTTCGTTTTCAAAGAATCACTAACTATTATTATTATTATTATTATTGTTTATTACTATTAATATTATTATTCATCTTTGTCTTTTGAATTTATGCGTTTTAAAGAGTTACCGGCCGTTCAGTCTGACAGTGGGGAAACTTGTTGAATTTGTTTGTACCTTTCAATCTTATTTGAAAACTCTCAATTAGCTACTTCTGCTCCTATATCCATTTCCAACCAAGTGCTGATTACAGTGTGGATCCAGCAACAGGACAACTAGCACAAAAAGATCCAACGCCTTGTGGTACGGATGGTTCAGCGTTTCAATGTATACCTTCGGACGCTTTGACCGGTATGGGTGTCCAATGGGAATGCTCCTCAAACACCTCGTGGCCTGGTGAGTCCTACTATTTTGTTGACTTTCCATAAATTTTCTTCAGAGATTTCCTTCATTTTAGAATACTAGGTCATCATTCGTTTCAGGACCGAACAACGGGATCACTAACTTCGACAACTTCGGCTTGGCTATGCTCACAGTCTTTCAGTGTGTATCGTTGGAAGGTTGGACAGACGTGATGTACTGGGTAAATTTTCTTTACTACCATTGGCTTGTCAACCGTGACCGCATTGTTTATTACATGAAAACGTCAGCTATATTCGACATTTCTTTCATAAGCATCACGAAAATTGTTAAGATCCGGGCTTTCTATAGGAGATCCATTGCCCTTGGAGGTTTGGAACAATACAATGTTTGAAATAGGATTAGCAACCCGCTTATCTCTCTAAGTTTCTTTAGTGAACACAGTTCTGGGTAGATGATTGAAGGTTGGATCGATGTGAGTAACTGAGA